TATAGGTTTATAACCCTAAACCCTAAACCCTAAAACCCTAAACCCTAAAACCCTAAAACCCTAAACTCTAAACCCCAAACACTAAGCCCTAAATCCCAAACTTCAAACCCTAAACCCCAAAACCCTAAACCCTAAAACCTAAAACCCTAAAACCCTAAACCCTAAAAGCCTTAACCGTTAACCCACATTCTTTCCGAAGGGCATGCTCCAAGCTCCTTGGTCGTGGCCCGGGCAGCGTCGTGGGACGAAGCCGACGCTTCCGAGGCCGCTGCATCATGGCACCTGCGAGATCTTAGGGTTTAGGGTTTAGGGTTTAGGGGTTACCCTAAGGCTCAAAAAGCGCCAAAAACCTTATATAGTCTGGGCTTTTAGCCCAAAAGCCTTAACACATGAGTCCTTAGAGCCTTACAAAAGGGTTTAGGATTTAGGGGTGTCGGATTTAATTTGGCATCTGGGGCTTTTGGGTCTTTTAAGTGTTTAGGGTTCAGAGTTGAGGGGTTTAGTGGAATTTTGGAGACGGATATGAATTCTTGGATCTGCCTTGTTGGCCAAGGGACTTTAGGATTCTGGAATTCTGGATTGCGATCATGAGTCCATCATTCCCGGCGTTGTCGCGCCATGTGCGATCGCCCCAAGGTGCGCCGCCAAGATCAATCCCTCTACACTCAACCACCCCACACCGCGTCAAAGACAGCAATCAGCTCGTCAGTGAGTGGTTGCTTCCGGTCGGGTTCCGTCCTACCGCAAACCACTTGTCCGGCTGCGACCGATACACCTGCTTTTTGAACACCTCATTTTGAAGATCTTACCACCATCGTCTCAAGATCCTGGAAAGAACTCCCGGAAATAATAAGCAAGCACAAACTCCAAACCGGGGATATTGTGGGCACGGGCCTTTACACAGGGACTATGAGGTGATACCACTACTAGTTATCCCGACGCCTATTTGAGACACACAGCTCAGGGCTTAAGAGTTTGGATGCTTGGATTCAGGTGTTTCAGGTTTGGGGCCGGTTCATAGCAGGGGATCTCACCGTGTGATAGGAGTGAGCAGTGAGAATAGAAGAGGAGGAACCGCATGGTCAAGCGGTTTAGGGTTTAGGGTGTAGGGTTTAGGGTTGTGACTGGAGCAGCGCTGGCGAAACGAAAGAATAATGTCAGACACATAGCTCACCATAATACCTACCCGTGTCCTATACATTTCCCATAAACAACAAACACCACGTCTCAAAATGGTGACGGTTGAAAGAAACATCAACACAATAGTAAAGAAGTGGCAGTGCCGCACCATGCTATAGAACTAGTACTGATACAGAGATAGGTCAGGACAAGACAGAAATATCAGAATCCCTGAACCCTACACCCACCAGCAATCTGGCAGAAGCACACCAACACAAGCATACAGGTCAACAAGTGGCACGTTCAACAACAAGACCATGCTCCCGTAAGGGCCACTAAAGAACTATGCGCAGAGGAAAAAACACCAATGGCCAAATTCAACAGCAAATAATTCCTCGAACGAAGTGGTGGCTTGATGTTCGCAGCGTTTGGTTTGGGGCATCGGGTTGTCTTGAGTCTTGCGGCTCTAAGTATCTTCGCAACTGACATTTCGATCTGATACTCAATCCCTACGCCCTAACCCCTGACTTTGCCTGCGTACTCGAGCACGTCAACTCCACCACTGCCTGGAGCTCCACTGCAGTCTGTGCTGCAGCGGACAACAAGGAAATCGGGATTGGGTGCTGTGAGACAGGAGAATAGCTTAGGCAATGGGATGCGTACTTGCAGCAGCAATGGCTTCACTAATCATGCCGATGTTGGAAACGCTACGAACTGTGACAATTCGGAATACGGCTATACCTGCTTCACTGACCCAATGGCCGTCCTGAAAACTGAATCTCGATTTGTAGCAGCCTTAGCTGCCTGCACACACAAGACTCTCAACACCAGACCGAGCATGTCAGACATCCTGCGAACGGAGTCCCTCCTGCGTCACCCAAGAGTATCTTCAAACTACTTTTGACAATGATACCGCCATGAACAAACCGTCGGAAAACACACAAACAAATCCGTCTGAAAACTTACACCACCTGTACCAGAACCGCATCTCACCCGTCTGCTCTACAAACCTAAACCTCCAAAACCCTACAACCCAGATCCTGATGATGTCCTGAGGTCCATGCTGTCTGTATCCAAGCTGTGCATCACTGCCTGGCCAGCCAAACCTACGAGCTGCTGTAAAACACTATTGCTACTACAGCTGCCACTACTACTGCTACTACTAGGCCTATGACTATACTCCAGCTGCTGCTACTTCTAGTTTTACTTCTACTTTTACTACTACTTCTGCTCCTACTGCTACTGCTACATCTACTTGACTTGTACTTCTGCTTCTGTTTCTACTTCGTACTAGAACCTACTTTTCTACGTATTACCTGCTACTTTGTACTTTCTACTTTCTGGTGCTACTACTACGACCACGATGATGATTACAGGAACCCACAAATACGAAGATTATGGTGAAGACGGATACGGGCACCAATGCGAATACATACTAATGCCAATTCCAACACGGATTCCCGTACCAGTGCCAATACTACGACTTAGACCAAAACCGTTGCTGAATTTGTTACCCTCGTGCTCATGCTCATACCCATACTTACTCAGACCAATATCGATACTTACTAGCATTTGTTGTTCAAGCAGCCCTAATAGCACTGGTATAGCAGTATTAGCAGTAACACGAGTAAAGCCGGAGGGTTTGATTGTAGCCCTGCTTCTGATGCGGCTACGGCCGCGTGCCTCGTGCCATGACTTGCCACTTGCCACTGCCACCAGCACCGCTACGGCTACGCTGCTCCTGTTGCAGTTGCTACTAATAATACTCTGCGCGAACATAGGCCAACCTCCAGTTGTGCCAATGGCACGCCCGGCTTCAGCAGCGGCAAAAGCCTCCGTTGGGTTCAATGGGCTACACGACCAAGTCATCTGCAGGATTCGATTGTGGCTGCCGGTGGGTCCGACTTAAGTGGCGAGGTCCTACCTAGGTGCCAAAAGATCCGTTGGAAGGGGCCGGCCCCAAGTAGCACTTACCGAGGCAACTCCACGAATAAGCAGTTTCGCAAACTCCTATATCCCGCATCGCAAGATCAAGGGCGTCCCGTAAGTGGCGTTCAAATTTTAGAACCACTGAGTGCTAATGCACACGTAAATCACGAAGGCCCTCGTGCTTTCGATGCGCCAATGCCGGCTGCTACAGACGAATTACAATGCCCAAGAACTCGGGGCCCTGAACGCACACAAACACAAGATTCATTCTCTTGGGGTTTTGGGGTATACAGGCCCGCATGAAATGGATTCAAGAAATACTGCCTGGCAGAGACCCTTGATTTTGGGTTGTCGTCGTCGGCGTTCCTTACCATGTGCAACAAGTCCTTTTATTTGCAGCTGTCATGGAGTGCCGACATGTCGAGCAGCGGGCAGCAACGGTGTGACATTGGTGAGAGCTAAAGCGGAAGCTTCCGTCAAGCCATTTGGCTGTTGGGTTTTGAAAAACATAGGCTTTCCGTTTAAGCAATCTCAGGATAGGACACCTGTGTTTCTGTGTGCGGAAGTGTCTAGAAACGAGGTTTAGATGGTAGAAAATGGATAATTCGCACGACACATGATTAACGTTTTGTAGAAGACATCAAATTTATGATTAGAGTACGTAGAGCAATTGAGTACATCAGAAGACATGTGCTGGATGATGCAACCCATCGTGCTTTGATCATGGGATTCGGCCAAGGAAAACCTTGCAAAACGAGCAAGTGACACCAGACGAAAGACCACCTTCTTTTCAGGCATTGCGGGCGGTCAAGTCAACGCCAGATAGAGAAGCTGGAACTCTTCACAGCGCTGGACCGCATCATGCTTGAATTTGAACAAAAAGTTGACGCAACAGAAGCGCAACAGAACGCCCTTTGTATTTTGGCGGTATAGACAAATCCGAGGAAGAGTCTTGTCTGTGCTTGGCTCAAAGTACCTTTTAGCCTCGTTTGCCTTCGCCCCTCCCTGTCAAGGACACGGCTGAGGAAGTCCTTGCGCAGGCTCTGAGCCATATTGTTGCAACATCGCTTGCTGTCGCTCTCTCTCTCTCTCTCTCTCTCTCTCGTTTTGTTTTACTGTTTATCTCTCTCTCTCCATCTCTCCATCTCTCTCTATCTCTCTGTCTCTCTCTCGCTCTCTCTCTGTCTCACTAACTTCTACAAACATCCACTCGACGAAGTTGGAAAAAACACAAGGCAATATCCTGTATGTCAGCGAAAACTCTCAGAACATCGAATTTAGCGACTTTAAACCTGATCTGTTTGACATCTTAACCAAAAAACAGATTAAACATAAGTTCCTTAAGTCCAAAACAAGTAGGGTAGATCTTGTGCCTCTGCTCTTAGCAAGTACCAAAAGTGAGTTGCATATTACTTATACGTCATGACTTTCCTAGCTGAACTTATGGCGGGTACCCTTTTAGACCCCTCAACATAGTACGGCACCCTTATAAAACGGACCCTAGAAGGGACCCTAAACCCTAAACCCTGAACCCTAAACCCTAATTTAGAGAACTACCCATGTGCAGATTATCAGTTGGCTTACAAGAAAGCGACCCTCCGAGTAGGTCCTGTTGAGGGCCGTTGAACGAGGACATCAGGGTTTAGGGTAGGAGCTTTGGCTTTAAGCGCTATGGCTATGGCTTGCGTCTTCCGGATAAAGGGTTCAGACCGTATTATGCAACACTGAATGTGGCAGACTGTTGCCGCACATTGCCGTGTAAACCCTTATCAATCGCTTGTTCATTGTATCCGCTTCCCTAAACCAAACGAACCAAGCCTAACTGCATATCCCGAATGCCTGGAGTCTGAGACCCAAACCACAAAAGCACAGCCCAGCCCTTCATCCTAACATCCAAGCCGCCACATCCAGAAACCCCATAGGCCTGAATAAGTAGTACTGCCGTGATGCCATTGGTTCGGGTTCCTGCGTATAGAAAACCCCCTCAGCACCCCATTCTAATTCATAAGACCATTTTTTTGACACTTGGAAGGACCTGGTTTTACCTCTGAACTGGAGCGAAGGAGTGAGGTTGGCGTCTAAGTACAGACAACTTGGGAGCAGTTCCTAAACCCTAAACCCTAAACCCTAAACCGGGAGCTTCGGAGTCTAAACCCTAAACCGGGAGCTTCGGAGTCTAAACCCTAAACCGGGAGCTTCGGAGTTTAAGAACTTAAGACATCAGCACTGAGCAAACCACCCTAAATTAACAAAATTTCTGGGTCAAAAAAATCGAAACCCCTGAAACCCTACATCTTCCTAAATCCAAAGAGGATCCGGAATAGGTCTTCCTTCCTGGGCTGTGTTTGGCATTTTAGGAATGGCCCAAAGCAGTTATGTGAGAAGGACCAGCGTTGTGATAGTTTGGGCTTAATTGTTAGCATAAGCGCAGTAATGAATTACACAACTACACACATCTACGCGCCCACACCCCCGCACCCCCTCGCACACCCTAGATAGACTCAGGGTTTATAGGATTTAGGATAAAACACCGAAATAAACCCGAGTAAAGTAAGCAGCCTTTATAACGAGAGTAGCTTTCCTTTAACATTGAGGGTCCCCTTGACTGGTTTCTCAGGTTACAATAAGACTGAAAAGGTTACTGCAAGGGCTCTGACGAAGGAGTCTTTATCGTGAGAGTTGGGCATTGAAGTACATGCTACAACTATATCAGAAATAAACACCTTACTCATTGGAATCATTGTTTGTAATATTTATCGTACGATTACCTGAGGACAGATGAAGACTATAAGAGGGAATACAATAGTTATACATGCTCAAATTTTACACCTGCCATGTGCCGAGCGTCTCCCGGTAGCTCAGCTCGCCACTATCGTCGCTGTCAAGAGAAGCGAACTTCCTCACTACGGATTTGCTGATTGTCTGTGCAACTCTAATCCAACATATGGCTCCTCATCAATATATTCTACCCTAAGGTTACCTACCCACCTCCCGGGATACATTTAAAACTTCACTGAAAGACAGCGTCCCGCCTACACCCTAAACTTCTAAACCCTATACACCCTGATTCCCTCTTTCTAGGTGCTTTGTGTACCCTAAACCCTAAACCCTAAACACGAACTACTAAAGGCGCCTAATCTCTGCGTGCTTTGGGTTGCCCCTGGGCTTCGAACCGAGAGGTGGAGATCTCAGCGTTGCAGGGTTTAGGATTTAGGACTGATACCCTAAGCCCGTGGCCCTGATACTGTAGGCTTTATAGTTTTTAGGGCGCATACTTTCAGGTTTAGGATGTATAGCTTTTGCTGTAGGGTTTAGGGCTTTGGGCTTATGGGGTTTAGGCTTCAGGTATAGGTTCTGGGCCTTGCAGCAATGGGGATCACAGGGTTGTAGGATTTAGTTTAGGATTGGCTGTAGGACTGTAAGATTGAAATAGCCCGATGGCTGTAGGGTTTAGCAAAGGCTCTTTGGGTTTAGGAGTTCAAAATTTAGGGTTTAAACTTGAATGAGCCCTAAACCCTAAACCCCTAAACCCCTAAACCCTAAACCCTAAACCCTAAACCCCTAAACCTTTAAACCCCTGTGTGTAGGATCTAAGCTTTGAGGCTCTGTGGCTCTCGGATTTCTGGGCGCTAGAGCTAAAAGGGTTTAGGGTTTAGGGTTTAGGGTTTAGGGTTTTGGGTCGAAACCTACTAGTGGGTCTCGCTCTAGTCGGGATCAGGGCTTAGGGTTTTAGAGTTTAGGGTATATCCTACTTGAAACTGTAGTTGTACCCATGAAACAACTATAATGGACCCCGAAACACTATTCAAATTCTTAAGGCCCGTATCTTAAACCCGAAACCCCAAACCCCAAAGGCCTTGATATCGGGTTTTGGGACTTTGGGTTCCGTCCCGGGTACAGGTAGGCCGCTCAGAGCCTCTGACAAATTTAGGGTTTAGGGTTTAGGGTATACGGTTTAAGGTTTAGGGTTTAAGGTTTGGGGTCTAGGGTTTCGGGTTTAAGGTTTAGGGTCTAGGGTTTAGGGTCTAGGGTTTAGGGCTTAGGGTTTAGGGAGTAGGGCTTACTGGGTCGTAAAAAAGATCCTCTTATGTAAACCCAATAATGGAAGATCTAGAATCTCCCAAAGGCCGACCTAAACCGTAAAACCTAGAAACCCTAAGCACTACACCTTCAGCCCTTAACTCCAAAACCCTAAAAGCCTAAATCAACCCCTGCACCCTAAAACCCTAAACCCTAAACCCCTAAACCCTACCCTTAAACCCTAAAGCCCTAAACCCTAAAACCCGAAGCCCTTAACCCCTAAAGCCCTAAAGCCCTAAACCCTGTAAACCCCTCAACCCTAAAACCCCAAAGACCGAAACCCTAGAGCCCTAAACCCCTAAATAAGCCCTATAACCCCCTCAACCCTAACACCCCAAAGACCGAAACCCTAAAGCCCTAAACCCCTAAATAAACCCTATAAGCCCCTAAACCCTAAATACCCTAAAGGCCCAAACCCTATAAACCCTAAAACCCTGTAAACCCTATAAGCCCCTAAACCCTAAAACTCCAAAGGCCGAAACCCACTGCAGCAGCGAAGTCTCGCCTGGATGGACGAAGGCACCGACTCCTGAGGCTACGTCGGTAGGCTTTCCTTGAACCCTACCTTAGAGTTTAGGGTTTAGGGT